ACACACACACACACACACACACACACACACACACACACACACACACTGAATCTTTTGCCCCTTGGAAATATCTGAAGCCAGTTCTAAACACAACAGTGACATCTTCATCATCCAGCCTCAGACATGATGAGGTGAACTTGTTTTCAAAGATTTACATTGTGATTACAGCTGCTTAAAAATCAATGAGTCACTTATACTGAACTTCAAAAATAACAGTGAAAGTTCGTCCTTAACCTCAGGAACATTAAGGTTAACAAACATCCTTCTGTGTGTCTCTTGTAGAGGGTTGCTGACCGACTGTACGGTGTTTTTAAAGTTCATGGAAACTATGGACGAGTCTTCAGGTTTGACAAGTTTATTATGCGTCTGCAAGGCTAAGAAAAATGTACTGATCGTTAATTTGTTCAAGTTTCATTGCCTAATTTCTCATTCTCTCAGTTGGTTTTAATACAAATCCTGAGTTTTAGCTTCACAAGCTGCATCATCTGTCCTTATATCCTCAAACTGGAGCCAATTTGGGGTTTTAACTAAACAATCTACTGGCAATGTTCACTTGAGTATATGTAGAACGCATGTTCACATTATGTATGTTTTTGTCTTCTTTGTTCCCGTGTGAAGCCGAGTGGCAGAGGCGTTTTTGGATGATAGCGTGGTTTTGTTGCGCTGTAGAGATGAATGGCTCTAACGATGTATCTATGAGTAACAGACTCTTCGAACCCTGCTCACGTGCCGTTTTGTGTTAAGTAAAAGGAAAGAAAACGTCATTTTTAAGATGCTGTGTTGTCAGATGTTGCACTGGGTGGCGTACTGTTTATACTTATGTGTGCACATCCATGTCTTCACTGCAGTGAGTGGAGTGCCATTGAAAAAGAGATGGGAGATGGACTGCAAAGTGCGGGTCATCATATGGATGCGTACGTTTCCCTGACATAGATTTACCACATAGTGCTACAGATGTTACCACCAGCTGTGTTTCTGCTGAAGTGAGATCTTGTGTTTTGTCACATGGTTGCAGATATGCTGCTTCAATAGATGACATCCTAGAAGAGGAGGAACACTATGCAGACCAGCTGAAAGAATATCTTTTCTATGCCGAAGCTCTGAGGTAAGACCAAACTGCGACACCGAGCGATTTTCCAGCAGCTGCTCCGTGTTAGCCTGTTTTACCCATTCCAAAGCCAGTTTCAGTATTTGTTAGGAATCATTGTTGGAGTATCCAGTTGTGCACAAGTTGCAATGATTTAGCTGTTGATCTGTAATAAAGTTGAAGAATTTAAGGTGTTCCTTCTTCGTTATTCCGTCTACTTTGTACCAGTACCACAGCTCCACAGCACGATGCTAACACGCTGCTCTTTACAGCTGCCAGTGTTTTAGGTCTGAAAGCCTCACCTTTGCTCCTCCAAACATAACTCCTGTCATTGTGGCCAAATAGCTCAGTCTTTGTCTTGTTTAACCAGAGAACATTTCTCCACGAGGCATCTGGCATGTCCACATGGGCAGCGGGACATTTCAGTCAGGTTTGAAGATCTTTGAACTGACAATGTTGGAATAAGCAGTTGTTGAGGAACCTTCCTACTTTCTTAGATTTTTACTCAGTTCCTTGGACTTTAAATGGTAAATGGCCTGTATTTACAGTATATAGCGCTTTACTAGTCCCTAAGGACCCCAAAGCGCTTTACACAACCAGTCATCCACCCATTCACACACACAGTCACACACTGGTGATGGCAGCTACTTTCCTATTGTTCTGAAGATCGGTCAATCCAGTGAGTGCTGCCAAAACAATGACATGTTTTATATATATGCTATTCTAACATGTTGATGTGCACGTGTAGAGTTTTAAAATCAGAGTCTTACAGTCTAATAGCCACAGGTTGGAGCTGGGCGATAGAACGATAACGATATGTGTTGCGAAATAACTTTTTCTCGACAGAAAAATTAAACTGTCGCGATAGGCCTCACCGCTCTTGTCCTCTTAAAAAAAAAAAGAACAGCCAATCCAAACTAAGTAGCGCAGAGCTGAACCAATCACAGCTGCAGCGTCACGTCACGTGACTTGTTACGTACAGCACAAGTGCCAAGCCGCACGTGTGTTTGTTTGGGAAGCAGCCAGCCGCCGTGCTACCCGGGTAATGGAGGAAATGAGTGCGCCGACTAGAGAAATCAACCGAGCGTGACCGAAGGTTACCGAAGAGAAAACAGATGATGGTTCCAACGCCGGAGAGATTGTTGAAAGGAAAGGCCAGAGAAGTTCTGTAGTGTGAAGGCATTTCTGCTATTTCAAGTCTGACAAAAACAGAGCAGCTGCACTGTAAATGTGCCGAAAGCAAGTCTGGAAATCCAATAAAGCGGTGCAGCTCAGTCTCTGACTGGAAGCGCTGATTCGTCATTCGGCTTTTGTCAGACTAAAGTAACTGTTAAAACTGTTTGAAAAGCTCAGCTATACAACAAGGAGAGATTGAGAATTTCCTTTTAGTTCTCAGCTTATTTGATATTGACAAAAGTTAGTCAGTTTTGTCTGTTCTTCTGTAAAACAAACTAAGATTTATTTTTAAATTAATATTTTGTTTCTAAGTGGAATTGACAATTTAGTCTGTTTCGTTTGTTCTATTTTGAAACTTAAACGCTTTAGCGGCTGCCTTTTGTGTAGTTTGCAATATTTGCCTTTATTTATCTGAAAAAGTCTCATGTTCCTTAAGCACATCTGTAGCCGTCGCATTGAAATGTAATTATTATGTGATTGCAATGTTCAAAATTTGGTGTTTAATCTGGATTCATGTTGTGTTGTCGCCACCTACTGGTGGACCTGAGTGTGGCGCTTTGCGGTGCGCATGCTTTGGGGTGAGGCTCAATTAAGCGCACATGTCACCAGAGACTGAAGGCTCGAGCCAGAAAGAGAATGCTAGCCTGTGTAAAGGGTGGAAATATAGAAGATATGGACTACAATTGCTCATGAATGTTCAGTAGAAAGGCGCACACGGTATGTTGGTGCATTTACTTTGTGAGTGTTTTATTTGAGTTGTAATTTTTGTTCTGCTGATGTAATATCCGTGTTTTTCATTGATCATTTCACCATAGTTTTTCACAGTGTTTGCTGGTGAAAAGAAGATTAAAATACTGGCTGAACATCAGTTGGAGCATGGCCCTTTATTCTACTTCGAACATGAAAAACCTTCAGGAGCAGTTACAACATCTACCCTGTTGAACTTATTATGGGAAATAAATATTTAAATCAAAACAAGCTGCTGATTATTTCACATTTTACTTGTGAGCAACGGCACATTTAAATCTTACAAATATAGTTATTTGGCTGATATCGTGATAGATATCGTTATCGCCTGAAATGAAAAAAACATATATCGCCCAGCTCTACCGCAGGTAAAAAGGCTCTCCTCTGTGGGCCAATGAGCCTTTTACTGCGTAGGCTGTGGTGATGGATTCTCCATGATGCTGAAGAGCATCTCAGAGTCAGATGTAGCATGTGTCATATATGTCTATGTATCTCTCCTCTTTTTCGTTCCTCTACAATGCCAAAGGCTCCTGTTTGAACATGCAGCATGTAGTTCATGATGCATTCTTGTATATTTCGCTCTGGCAGGGCAGTGTGCAGGAAACATGAGCTGACCCAGTTTGAGCTGGAGATGGCCTCGCAGGATCTCATCTCGAAGAAGCAGCAGCGTGAAGAGCTGGCTACAGGGGTACACTGCTCATGTTCTACATGTATTCCTTTTCCTTGCCTGTTAACACTTACACACGGCCACATAGGAAACATATATGGAATCCTTCACATTGCAGATGTGTGATTTACCTATCTGTGAATTAAAGGCAGAACAAGATGGTGAGCTTTTGGGACTGTGTTATGTCTTTAACTTTTGGACCAAGCGCAGAGCTTGGAAACTTCAGGTTTATCGCTGAGTTTGTATACCTGGGTAAATCCAAGCAGACCAGTCTGAAGCTGTGGACTCCCAGTAGGTTCCCAGTTTGCTGAACCATAATTTCCCCAGTAGAGGACAGAGCCAAAGCTTTGTCACTGTGCTTTGAGCATCCATCTCTGCTTTTTACACACTCATTCTGATAGAAACTTGTCATTCCAAGTAACTGAACACCCTCAGCTGCAGGATAAGACGTGCTTATAGGAAACTGCATGCCAGAAACCTGATCCATGAAAATACTGACGCTCTTCAGTTGCACTTGAGCAAAGATTAAAATGTTAAAAATTCAGAGTTTGAGGAGGATCTAGTTTTAGGAGACACCTGCAATTTTCAGTGTTGTCCCTTCTCCCCTTCACCTCCTCAGATCGTGCGGACATTCTCCTTCAAAGGCATGACCAACAAGCTTTTTGGACAAGAAGCACCTGAGCAGAGGGAGGCCAGGCTGAAGCTGCTGGAGGATCTGATAGCAGAGGGTGAAGAGACTGTCAAGGAGAAAACGATTGAGCGCGCGTGAGTGTTGAAAGCTGCCTGGTGTGGGAAGGTTTTGGGTAAAAGCAGTTGGAAATGTTTCGAGATCGACGCGGATTTAAAGATGATTTATCTTTGACTGCAGAGAGCACGTGGAAAAGGCCTGGGTGGATATCCAGCGCTTCAAGGAGCAGAAAGACAAAGACCTACGGGAAGCTCTCATCAACTACGCTGTCATGCAGATCAGCATGTGCAAGAAGGTACATTGCACATCAGCTAGCTAAGGTTGAAAGGAAAACTGGCACTCAAGTTTACTGGATGATTTTGTTTCTGCTCCCTAACTGCAGGGAATCCAGGTTTGGAGCAATGCCAAGGAATGTTTCCTCAAGATGTGAGGCTGAGGAAATATCCCGAAGATCTTCTCCCTCTAGGATGATTCTGGGAAAATGACGCCAGGAGGCGGTGGATCATTCAAAGACCTGAACACTGGACTGTAATATTCCCAGACTTAACTGAGACGTTTTTTCTAACTTTAAACTGGTGCTTTGCTTCTTTCAGTTTTTAAAGCTGGATAACTGCTGATGGGATGAGTGAGTATGCTTTGGGGCAGATAAAGTCATGGTTGGCAAAGAAATGTAAGAATACGTGGTGTTTAGATCCACACATAAACCTTGGTGGAATCTCAGGCACCTTTGTTTTATCCACTTTATGAGTTCATAATTCTGCATTGGACCATCCCATAGGTTTGATTTATGTTGAAACCTGTCAACTGAAC